GTTGTTACTGTACAGATAGATGGTGTTGATACTGTACAAATAGATGGTGTTGATACTGTACAGATAGATGGTGTTGATACTGTACAAATAGATGGTGTTGATACTGTACAGATAGATGGTGTTGTTACTGTACAGATATATGGTGTTGTTATGGTGTTGTACTGTACAGATAGATGGTGTTGATACTGTACAGATATATTGTGTTGTTACTGTATAGATATATGTTGATACAGATAGATGGTGTTGTTACTGTACAGATAGATGGTGTTGATACTGTACAGATAGATGGTGTTGATACTGTACAGATATATGTGTGTTGTTACTGTATAGATAGATGGTGTTGTTACTGTACAGATAGATAGGTGTTGATACTGTACAGATAGATGGTGTTGATACTGTACAGATATATGGTGTTGTTACTGTACAGATATATGTTGTTACTGTACAGATAGATGGTGTGTTGTTACTGTACAGATATATATACTGTACAGATAGATGGTGTTGATACTGTACAGATAGATGGTGTTGTTACTGTACAGATAGATATGTGGTGTTGTTACTGTACAGATAGATGGTGATACTGTACAGATAGATGGTGTTGTTACTGTACAGATAGATGTGTTGTACTGTACAGATAGATGTGTTGTTACTGTACAGATAGATGGTGTTGTTACTGTATAGATAGATGGTGTTGATTCTGTACAGATAGATGGTGTTGTTACTGTACAGATAGATGATGTTGTTACTGTACAGATAGATGTACACATAGATGGTGTTGTTACTGTACACATAGATGGTGTTGATACTGTACAGATAGATGGTGTTGATACTGTACAGATATATGTGTTGTTACTGTATGTTTGATACAGATAGATGATGTTGTTACTGTACAGATAGATGGTGTTGATACAGATACAGATAGATGGTGTTGATACTGTACTGATAGATGGTGTTGATACCGTACAGATAGATGGTGTTGATACTATACAGATAGATGGTGTTGTTACTGTACAGATATATGGTGTTGTTACTGTACAGATAGATAGTGTTGTTACTGTACAGATAGATGGTGTAGATACTGTACAGATAGATAGTGTTGTTACTGTACAGATAGATGGTGATACCGTACAGATAGATGGTGTTGATACTGTACAGATAGATGGTGTTATTACTGTACAGATAGATAGTGTTGTTACTGTACAGATAGATAGTGTTGTTACTGTACAGATAGATGGTGTTGTTACTGTATAGATAGATGGTGTTGATGTACAGATAGATTGTTGTTACTGTACAGATAGATAGTGTTGTTACTGTACAGATAGATGGTCTTGTTACTGTACAGATAGATGGTGTTGATTACTGTACAGATAGATGGTGTTGATTACTGTACAGATAGATGGTGTTGATACTGTACAGATAGATGGTGTTATTACTGTACAGATAGATAGTGTTGTTACTGAACAGATAGATAGTGTTGTTACTGTACAGATAGATGGTGTTGTTACTGTACAGATAGATGGTGTTGATACTGTACAGATAGATGGTGTTGATACTGTACAGATAGATGGTGTTGTTACTGTACAGATAGATAGTGTTGTTACTGTACAGATAGATGGTGTTGATACTGTACAGATAGATGGTGTTGATACTGTACAGATAGATGGTGTTGTTACTGTACAGATAGATGGTGTTGTTACTGTATGGATAGATGGTGTAGATACTGTACAGATAGATAGTGTTGTTACTGTACAGATAGATAGTGTTGTTACTGTACAGTTAGATAGTGTTGTTACTATACAGATAGATAGTGTTGTTACTGTACAGATAGATAGTGTTGTTACTGTACAGATAGATGGTGTTATTACTGTACAGATATATAGTGTTGTTACTGTACAGATAGATAGTGTTGTTACTGTACAGATAGATGGTGTTGTTACTGTATAGATAGATGGTGTTGATACTGTACAGATAGATGGTGTTGTTACTGTACAGATAGATGATGTTGTTACTGTACAGATAGATGGTGTAGATACTGTACAGATAGATAGTGTTGTTACTGTACAGATAGATGGTGTTGTTACTGCATAGATAGATGGTGTTGATACTGTACAGATAGATGGTGTTGTTACTGTACAGATAGATGGTGGTGTTACTGTACAGATAGATGGTGTTGTTACTGTACAGATAGATGGTGTTGTTACTGTACAGATAGATGGTGTTGTTACTATACAGATAGATGGTGTTGATACTATACAGATATATTGTGTTGTTACTGTATAGATAGATGGTGTTGTTAGTGTACAGATAGATGGTGTTGTTACTATACAGATAGATGGTGTTGATACTGTACAGATAGATGGTGTTGTTACTGTATAGATAGATGGTGTTGATACTGTACAGATAGATGGTGTTGATACTATATAGATAGATGGTGTTGTTACTGTACAGAAAGATGGTGTTGATACTGTACAGATAGATGGTGTTGATACTATACAGATAGATGATGTTGATACTGTATAGATAGATGGTGTTGTTAGTGTACAGATAGATGGTGTTGTTACTGTACAGATATATGTTGATACTGTACAGATAGATGGTATTGATACTGTACAGATATATGTTGATACTGTACAGATAGATGGTGTTGTTACTATACAGATAGATGGTTTTGTTAGTGTATAGATAGATGGTGTTGATACTGTACAGATAGATGATGTTGATACTATACAGATAGATGATGTTGATACAGTATAGATAGATGGTGTTGATACTGTACAGATAGATGGTGTTGATACTATACAGATAGATGGTGTTGTTACTGTACAGATAGATGGTGTTGTTATTGTACAGATAGATGGTGTTGATACTGTACAGATATATTGTGTTGTTACTGTATAGATATATGTTGATACCGTACAGATAGATGGTGTTGTTACTGTACAGATAGATGGTGTTGATACTATACAGATATATTGTGTTGTTACTGTATAGATATATGTTGATACCGTACAGATAGATGGTGTTTTTACTATACAGATATATTGTGTTGTTACTGTATAGATATATGTTGATACCGTACAGATAGATGGTGTTTTTACTATACAGATATATTGTGTTGTTACTGTATAGATATATGTTGATACTGTACACATAGATGGTGTTGTTACTGTATAGATAGATGGTGTTGATACTGTACAGATAGATGGTGTTGATACTATACAGATATATTGTGTTGTTACTGTATAGATATATGTTGATACTGTACACATAGATGGTGTTGTTACTGTACAGATATATGGTGTAGATACTGTACAGATAGATGGTGTTGATAATGTATAGATATATGGTGATGTCACTGTACAAATATGTGGTGTTGATACTGTACACATAGATGGTGTTGTTACTGTACAGATAGATGGTGTTGTTACTGTACAGATAGATGGTGTTGATACTGTACAGATAGATGGTGTTGTTACTGTACAGATAGATGGTGTTGTTACTGTAGAGATAGGTGTTGTTACTGTACAGATAGATAGTGTTGTTATGGTAGATGTTGTACTGTACAGATAGATGGTGTTGTTACTGTACAGATAGATGGTGTTGATATACTGTACAGATAGATGGTGTTGTTACTGTACAGATAGATGGTGTTGTTACTGTACAGATAGATGGTGTTGTTATGGTGTTGTCTGTACCTATCTGACACAGATAGATGGTGTTGTTACTGTACAGATAGATGTGATGTTACTGTACAGATAGATGGTGTTGATACTGTACAGATAGATGGTGTTGTTACTGTACACATAGATAGTGTTGTTACTGTACAGATAGATGGTGTGGATACTGTACAGATAGATGGTGTAGAAACTGTACAGATAGATAGTGTTGTTACTGTACAGATAGATGGTTGTTATGTTGATATCAAAGATAGTGTTGTTACTATACTGTAGATATTTTGTACAGATAGATTGTTGATACTGTACAGATAGATGGTGTTGTTACTGTACAGATAGATATTGTTGATTTCAGTGTTGTTACTGTACAGATAGATGGTGTAGATACCGTCGGTCTATTATTTTGTTATCAGAGCCCCCGTCGGTCTGTTATTTTGTTATCAGAGCCCCCGTCGGTCTGTTATTTTGTTATCAGAGCCCCCGTCGGTCTATTATTTTTTTATCAGAGCCCCCGTCAGTCTGTTATTTTGTTATCAGAGCCCCCGTCTATCTGTTATTTTGTTATCAGAGCCCCCGTCTATCTGTTATTTTGTTATCAGAGTCCCCGTCGGTCCGTTATTTTGTTATCAGAGAACCCGTCGGTCTGTTATTTTGTTATCAGAGCCCCAGTCTGTCTGTTATTTTGTTATCAAAGCCCCCGTCTGTCTGTTATTGTGTTATGAAAGTTCCCGCCTGTTCATTATTTTGTTATCAGAGCCCCCGTCGGTCTGTTATTTTGTTATCAAAGCCCCCTCGGTCTGTTTTGTTATCAAAACCCCCGTCTATCTGTTATTTTGTTATCAGAGCCGCCGTCTATCTGTTATTTTGTTATCAGAGCCCCCGTCTATCTGTTATTTTGTTATCAGAGCCCCCGTCTATCTGTTATTTTGTTATCAGAGTCCCCGTCGGTCTGTTATTTTGTTATCAGAGAACCCGTCGGTCTGTTATTTTGTTATCAGAGCCCCAGTTTGTCTGTTATTTTGTTATCAAAGCCCCCGTCTGTCTGTTATTTTGTTATGAAAGTTCCCGCCTGTTCATTATTTTGTTATCAGAGAACCAGTCTATATATTATTTTGTTATCAAAGCCCCCGCCTGTCTGTTATTTTGTGATCAAAGCTTTCGTCTGTCCATTTTCAGTCTGTCCACCACGTTGGTATCAAGTTCCCTTTTGCCGGTTTCTCTGTTGTATTAAGTGACTGTCTGGCTTTTATCTGTGTGTATATATATATATATATAAAGAGGATACAAGTTAAGATGGTTAATTGACAGAAAATTGATATTACGTACAAGCAGAGCCGCGGCCTGTTGCGTTGACCAGCCGAGAGGAAAGGGTAGACTACAGGCAGCAAGTATTCCTTGACAACTGGAAAACTTCTCCTTCTTGCGCCATTTAGCCCGGCGGTTCTGGAACCATACCTGAACAGATTGACACAAAGAACATGAATTAACTGAATGAAACATTTTACAGTTGTGTGATCGCACAACGTAACACGATGTTGGCAAGATATCTGCAAGATAGGAAAACTGGACAAAATAAGTTATCGAACATCCGTGCGCACAGAGTGCACCATTACATACGGTGTTTGCGATTCTCGCAACAGTCAGGGTCAAATGAGGACGTGAGGAGGTGCTACGAGCGGGAAACAAAGATCAGAAAGACCAGACCAGACAGTAACACAAATAAATGAGGAAGGTCTAAAGTATTTCATTGGCTTAGGATATCTAATTTGGTTTCTTCAATGTCTTCTTTTGAGATCTACTCTTAGTGACATCTCCGATGACGCAGTGCTATAGAGCAGACCCTATTGTTGGGCTCACCTCAACAAAGGCGATGGAGAATTCGCCTCGGGCTGCAGAGGAGCCCGCCAATCAGTCGCTTCTTACATCATGCAACAATAAACAGTAGAAACAGTCGTCTCCTGCACGTGTTCGATAGATCGGGACAATAATAACAAAACAATGTATGTTAAATCGCTCCTTAGGAATCATCAACGTATCCATGCAAATTATACATGGTACTAATCGATGACGTCACGAGTTAGTTTTCGTGAACATCCGAATTGGCATAATTTATCTCAAATATTATTTTGTGTCTTCATAGCAGGGAAGGCAGTGTTAAAATTGTATAAAAATACGTATATCTGCTACAGTTTTTACTTTTATCAAAAGTAACTTAAAAGAATGCGGTTTCCAAAAGCCCAGCCACATGATCAAATATCCCAAGACTGCTATTATATACCCTTACAACATTTGGTTACTGTATATATAGATTTAGACCTCATGGCCATTGCATATGAAAGGAATGCAAACTGAAAATAATTTCCTATATGGTTTCTACAGCCGATGTAGGACACGTGTACCATATACAGGGTTCCTATCATATAGACTTCAGCAAGTTTTCACCTATATGGAAATGGAAGCAACTTCATTGACTTCATTGCCATCCTCATTACTTTAGGGGTCACGCCCACTATCGCTGTCTGCACCCGTGGAATATGTCATGGTAAAATTGAACGTTCTATGTGTGACATCTTGAGGATAAGACGAGAAGACTTCTTTGATTCTTTGATGTACATTGAATGAAATTCGGGGTCGCTTATCAGTGTGTTGTACTGACTTTGAAGTTAGGTGTCGCCTCTTTCTTACCTTCATAGTAGCGTGTCATCTGTGATTTGTCAGTGTTTTTCTCCTGAAACCTGCTCTAGTCCAATCATATTATTTCGTATGTGCATTTTGTACTGTTGATACACCGTAGCCATTACATAGTCACATTTATGAGGTTTAACTTTGTGAATATTGATGACGATCTTAATAGTGCGCTCTATGCTTTCATGTAATTTCACTCAAAGTGTATATAAACCTAGACAGTTTTTTTATGATATGGGAACGATATATAATGAATATATCAGTGTGTGCCAGACTTGCCCCGAGTGGACAATGATGGAATTAAGAAATGTAATGGAAGATGGAGTTAGTTTAACAGTTCATAATGAAAACCAGCATTAATGTTGATGCATTGCTTTATTGACGACAATGACCGTGTTAACTGACATCGTTAAGGACCCCAATAGCCGATATCCATCTTGAAAACTGTCATGCGCAATAACATCTTGTATATAAAATGATTTTTTAAAACTCTTTTTAGTTTGGCACATGATTAACAAAACAATATTCATAATCCAAACTCAGATTAAATAAAACTGGAACAACACAAACAAAAGCAAAATGTACACGGAAAGCCAAGAAAAAGTGGAAGAATAATTAAACTTGTTTTTCTGAAAGAGTGTCCGCTTCATCGACGACATCCGCCATGTAAACCTTGGTCAATCCAGGCAAGTAAAGTCACGGTCTAAAATGCAAACAAGGTATACAACTATGGAGCCAACAGGCAAACTCATCAAAGACGGCCAGCTTCATATTGCACAAGGAAATATTATTTTTCTCAATGAGATCACTTTTACGACCGTAAAAGTTCCCTGCAAATTTCATCAACCTCCATCTTTTGAAACCCTGAGGTTACGACTTTTTCCTCGAAAATTATAATACTGGGAACAGCTGAATATCTAATCAACTTGGACCATGGAAACACCATAGGGTGGGGACGCTGCTATCTAGAAATTGGTCTCTTTTGGAAGATCTTACCACAAAACTCGACGAAGACGTTGTCAACCAAAAACTCATTTCTTTTATGATTTTCATCTTCCGTATATTTCTCCTTTGATAAAGGGACTTCAATATAGTTCATAACCATATATTTGTCCCGCCGTTCAGCTTTCTTCGAAAGGGAAGCTCTCATAACAAGAGAAAGATTCATTCTTTCTAATTAGAATAAGTTAAGGTGGTGTACAGGATCGCAAAATCAGATGATCTTATTACATTTTTAAAAAGAAGACGTTGAAGATTGGTCAAAAGCTCTTTAGGGTCCTTTAAAATCCAAATACTATTAACTTCACTTATTCAGTAAACATTGTTACAAAAGACTGTAATCCAGATTTGATCGTACTGAGAACGGTGGTTAGTAATATTAACAAAGGCTAGGTTGAACAGATTGACGAGGCAACAATGAAATGTTGCTTTTTTGACGGTTATGAATTCAATGAAAACTGTAAAAGTCCGTATTCTTATCATTTCCTTGTTTTGTCTTTAACCGTTTTGCCGTTTTAGAAAATGAATAGTAGTGTCAATACTCTAGAACTTTGCTTATCATTTATTTATAGATTTGTGAAAAAGACAATTGTTCCCATCTTGTTTATTACAACTCCACAGAAACTGATTTAGAACATGTTCCCTAGAGACTGGCAATACACCTCCAAAGAAACGAATACTGAACCTGTCCTTGGAAAGTTTATTACACCTGCACAAAAATCGATATAGCATACGTCCCTTGGAAACTGGCACTGCACTTAAACTGAAACCAATTTAGAGCATGTTCCACGCAGATTCCCACTACATCTTAATTGAAACCAATTTAGAACATGTCCCAAGCAGATTGCCACTACATCTTAATTGAAACCAATTTAGAACATGTCCCAAGCAGATTGCCACTACATCTTAATTGAAACCAATTTAGAACATGTCCCACGCAGATTACCACTTCATCTTAATTGAAACCAATTTAGAACATGTCCCAAGCAGATTGCCACTACATCTTAATTGAGACCAATTTAGAACATGTCACACGCAGATTGCCACTACATATTAATTGAAACCAATTTAGAACATTTCACACGCAAATTGCCACTACATCTTAATTGAAACCAATTTAGAACATGTCCCACGCAGATTGCCACTACATCTTAATTGAAACCAATTTAGAACATGTCCCACGCAGATTGCCACTACATCTTAATTGAAACCAATTTAGAACATGTCCCACGCAGATTAATACTTCATCTTAATTGAAACCAATTTAGAACATGTCCCAAGCAGATTGCCACTACATCTTAATTGAGACCAATTTAGAACATGTCACACGCAGATTGCCACTACATATTAATTGAAACCAATTTAGAACATTTCACACGCAAATTGCCACTACATCTTAATTGAAACCAATTTAGAACATGTCCCACGCAGATTGCCACTACATCTTAATTGAAACCAATTTAGAACATGTCCCACGCAGATTGCCACTACATCTTAATTGAAACCAATTTAGAACATGTCCCACGCAGATTGCCACTTCATCTTAATTGAAACCAATTTAGAACATGTCCCACGCAGATTGCCACTACATCTTAATTGAGACCAATTTAGAACATGTCCCACGCAGATTGCCACTACATCTTAATTGAAACCAATTTAGAACATGTCCCACGCAGATTTCCACTTCATCTTAATTGAAACCAATTTAGAACATTTCACACGCAAATTGCCACTACATCTTAATTGAGACCAATTTAGAACATGTCACACGCAGATTGCCACTACATCTTAATTGAAACCAATTTAGAACATTTCACACGCAAATTGCCACTACATCTTAATTGAAACCAATTTAGAACATGTCCCACGCAGATTGCCACTACATCTTAATTGAAACCAATTTAGAACATGTCCCACGCAGATTGCCACTACATCTTATTTGAAACCAATTTAGAACATGTCCCACGCAGATTGCCACTACATCTTAAAAAACTAGCAATTAAACCTCCACAGAAACCAATATAGAACATGTCCCTCGGAAACTAGCATTACAGCTCCACAAAAACAGATGTAGAACATGTAGAGCCTGGCACTACACTTCCAATGGAAAACTAATATACAACCTGCTCCTTGGAAACTGGCACTCACCTTCCAGGAAAAAAATCCCTTCGTGGGTGGACACCACATTTCTGAAGGAAAGATTACAAGGACTGCACCCCTATGAAATGGTAGTTAATTTATAAACGCCTAACGTAAATCGATAGTGCTGGCATAGTCTAAGGTCGACAGGACATTTGTTAAGAGACAGAATATGAAACGAATAACGAAATAAAGGCCACGGTTTTTCTGAACGTGAATACCTTTCTTGATATAATGAAGACAAATATTCGGTAAAGACAACGCCGACTTGCCACAAGGGAACTGGCAAAGACGTGGCATCCGCCATTGACATTTATTGGGAACATAACAATCCAATAATGAGACAGTGTAAAACTAATGTTAACCGTCCTGCAAGCATACATTACCCAGTGATTAGTGTTATATGTATTGAGCACAGTTTGTTATATAACGGAACATCCCGTAAACAGGTATCAAATTCACTATCAGAAAGGGATAGTTAAATTTACTGCTGCATAAAACAAACGCAAACATAGGTTTACTGATGTATGGATAATTAAATGATAATGATGGCTGAACAAGGTCATATATAAATGTCGAAGACGTTGTGGTTCTATTTTCTAATTGATTAAATTTATCACATTGTACAATGTATATACTAAACAAGTGGGTAAATTTCGAAGAAGTGGTTACCTTAATAAACCCCAAGTCGGTACAAGTTTATATTTCAATCGAAAGAATTGATAAAGTTTAATTATGTATAAATCACAGTCATTCAGCATGTCTATGAAATGAATTTCTATTGAAAGTTTGAATATACAGGAGGACATTTTTCACACAAGTGAGAATCGAGAATCCACATGCGTTACCAATATCGCGTTTTATAGACACATATTCCCAAAAGCGTTAACACACCGCCACACACACTATCATGTTAGCAAAAACCAATATACAATATCATGTTTGCGAAAATCTACTTACAATGTAATGTAAGCAAACATCAATAAAGAATACCACGCTATAGAACCTCCAAATACAATATCATGACCCTAAACTTCCATATCCAATCTCATTTTAACGACAATCCACATACATTGTAATTATCACACGTGTGTTAGAATGCAATACATGGGAAATATTGCTAATGATATCTTGTTAATTTAAATTGTAAAATCTTCTTCATGCGAGTATGGACAAAAAAACTTGATCACCACCTTGTCCTATCATACCAGAAATATAATATAACAGCGTCATTCTGTTTCATTATCTCGTCAATATGTCTTGCCATTTCCCGCGAATGACCTCATATAACGCAGGGAACAGGGTGGTCATCAGGTGGCTTTCCGTTTCTTAATTGGATAATAATACAGCCGGCATACGGGATAATCCGCTTTAAACAACCCGTGTGTAGATCTCGAATGATTTTGTCACATATGATAGTGTTATACAACATAACGTGCTTTATCTTTATGAAATGTGTCATCTTAGTTTGTTACCATAAACAATGAAGTAACGTCATTGTTCAGCGAAAGAATATTGTCTTTGGTATTATTTTGTTAAACATTCGCATTGCACCTTTCTAAATTAAGAAAGTAAAGAATTTTTATTGTTTTAATCATACCTACACTCAACCCTGTTTTATAAAATCAATTAAAGTCACGTCGTGTTAAGCATCCGACGATGATACCATGGACAATCCTTATTTGAACAAGGTCACCTAAGTTTGTCGCTGTAATCATTTAATGTCGGCGTCACGATGCATGAGAAGCGAGCGCATGTGTGGTGTGGATGTGTCTTACGGCTACAGTATGCTCTTGTAAGCTTCCTAGTGGTAGTACGGAACTAAGGCTACACACTGGAGTACACTGTCTAAGGCCTTCCACTCCGGGCACACAGGGTTTTCTAATTCATACGAAAACATAGCACATTTAATGAATGAATAAGAGAAGACTGAACCAGAAATAAGATCGATCAAGTCGAATGAACTTAAAGTGCATATATTATAAAATCCAGACGATATAAATATTGATAAGCGGCTAAAACGCGCAAGGGATCTAAACGTTATACGTGAAAACCTAAGACGACTAGAAAATCGTCGACATTTGATAACAGGATGTATAAGAAGCATAATCACCATTCCTGATGTAAATAAAAGACTCTGTCTCAGTGAGCTTCGTACGTAGCAACATTACCATATGTTTAAATCAAAAGACAAAAGAATCTGGAAACTTTTGAATCCACGTTTTACGTATGCGGGATTGATTGAGATAATGGTAATGCTATCACCTTCATGCATATACAAAGTATTCACCCGATAACATTAATCTTAAAAAATTACTTCGCAATGTTCAATACAACATTGCAAAATCAAAATACCGACAACAAAGGCGTAATTCAAAACATCTATAAAACAAGTGAGCACAACAGACTTACAAAAGCAAGATTCACAAGAACATCCACGCATGTGCTTTCACACTACCTGTATCCTCGACTCCGGAAGTTTTATTTTGCAAGCTAATTTTTCCCTGAGAAATACATCTGGGTAATGCATCTTTCTGAAAGCTTTCTCAAGTTCCTGTAGCTGACGAGTGGAGAATGTTGTTCGCTTTCTTTTCCCCTTGAGGTGCGATTTGTGCTTTTCCTCTACCTTTCCATCTGTAATCAGAAATAAAAAGTGTGTTTAAACTGTCGGATGAATAACGGCAAAAGGTAAACAAAGTCAACGAAGACGAAAAAGTTTGCAGTGAACGTGATTTCAAAGTCAGAAGTATATAAAACGTATTCAGGAAATAGTTTGTTAGGGAGATTGTATCTACACGGCATCAGTCAGGAAATTGATTACTTACTTAAGCGTCTTTAATGCAATCTTCACTTCACGATGCCTTCTTTTGCATATTTGACTTTGACTTTGTGACGTGGTCCAGAAAATTACATACTATCTGAAATATCGCTCATCGTTCCCAGAAAGGAATCTCTATTCACTATATGTCACCTTTCAGATTAATTAACACGTGGCATGCAGGTTATGGAAAACCTTGATGACTTAAAGTCCATCAGCATTGTCTACCTAACTAAACCGAAATGAATTATGTCAGGATAATCTTAGGATACCATAAGGTTGCCAGAACGACCAATGAATACAATTAAAATAGCGAAAGAATGCGAGGAACAAACAAATCCATCCCTCAAGAAAAGAAAGCGGGTTATGAAGGGGGAACTGTGATGATGAAATTAAGGATTGAATCTTGCTGATGTCGATTTAATGGGATAATGAATTGTGTTGGTCTTGAGACAAATTTAATGATTTGCGAAGCAGTTCATGATGAATTTATTTCAAGACCAACTCAATTCTTCATAAAAATGAAACCGACATAAGCAAGATTCAGTCCTTATATTTCAATTCACGCTTCGTTTTTCTATAACATTGGAAATGACGCAAATTATCTTCTACTTTCATTTCCGTTTCTTGCCATCATGTCGTCTGACGTCATACAAGTAAATAGTCATTTGAAGACAGATTATATTTTGGCGTGGTAACTTAATATTCAATGAAACTTAAATAAGAACAAAATTTAATACATTTTTCGACAACTTTCATGAAAATTTAGATAATAGTGTGCAGCAAAGACAGTGTGCATTTTACCTCGAGGAGGAATAACGTCTAGGACGTGGTGCGCCGGTTAATCTGGTCAAATTCATTGGTAAATGAAACAGATCACGTTTTGAAGTTTCAATGAGTCTGATTTGGGTAGAAATTGAAATATTGATAAATGAATGAGGTGTAAGCTTTTTAAGCAGCCTAATCTCCTCGAGTTCCATTGCGAGCTTCTGTCAAGTGAATGCAAAATGGTTGTCTTATCTAAATGACTGATTGTGCGGAACAATATAGTATATTGATATACGATGCTATCTAATAATTATTGTAATTTCAGGAGCGACAGGAGAATAACGTATTGCAGGTGACCGGATATAACTTTCTATAAATAGCAAATCTGCGTCACCTTTCTCTCGCGATTCCGCCGACACTTTTTAATTTCGAACGTTTGGCGATAAATAACGGCACCACTGACGATTGAAAATTCACAGGTATTAATTATACTATATTATGTTCGTTCTTATTTATTAAAGTCTTCTGTTTTCGGTTGTCTATTGTAAGTCTTGAGTATGCAGACAATTAAAATAAAATGTCTTAGGTCGCGGCTTTCGCTGCTCAAAACATATGAAACGATAAAATGGCAAAATAGCTTTGAAAATTTGGTATGAGTGGTCATACTTTAATATATATATATTTATGTGAGTATGTAAAAAATACCAACAAGTCAATATAATCATAATCCAAGCTCAAATTCAATAAAACTAGGATAAAACAAGAACAAAAGTTTTTACCCCCTTATTATTGATTTAAAGGGAGTGTCCTGAAGAATTCCAGGATATTAAGACCAGGTCTTCCGGAAGAGTTCAACGACGACACCCACCATGTAAACCTTAATCCACCCAAGTGAGTAATGTCACGTTCTCAAATGAGAACAAGGTATACAACAACGGAACCAACAGGCAAACTAACGAGCATCAGACACGGCCAGTCCATATCACACAAAGAAATAGAATATTCCTCAATGAGATCACTATGGCGACCGTAAAACATCCCCATAATTTTAATTAACCCATATCTCATCTTGAAACTCTTCATTTGACGATAATTTTGATAACGGAACAAGCTGTTGGAATAGAGTCATCTGCGACACGTGACCACCATTGGTTGGGGATGCATTGAAATCGACATTGTTGAATGAATTCCGCCAGCATGCCTTAGTTGGTTTAAAAATGTAAATAAACCGACAATCAATATTATATCTATCAAGTTATTATTTGCTGTTGATTACTCAGTATAGAGGAGGTAATGTATCGTTTGTAAATATATGTCACGTATTTGTATCGTTATAATTGAAAATACTATCAGTAACTTAGAGGGACTTACTTTCGCATAGTTATCACCTTACAAGTATATAGTTGTTGATGGCCCAAGAATGTTTCGAGACGAGCTCTGTAAAAAGTACATAGGCATTGGATAGAAATGTCTAAAAACACATAATTATTGAAGTATTATTGTGAATGAATTACGGGAATATTGAGGTGAAATGACAATTCACTCTATAATTAAGGTATTAAGGTGTCTTTTAAATGTGCTTTATTAGGATAACTAGTATTCCGATTTGCGATACGATTTGATTGCTTTTGGTTTAATTTATATCGCATAACATCCATTCAATAAATATGATTGTCTAAAGCAGAATGTATATATATGCGCGAGGTGAATGCATATACGGCTTACGTTAGTAGGAGGCTGCAATATGTCCATGAAAAACTCCTCGCGATAGCGCGAATCTGAAGTCAACTTTATATAGTGTTATCTTCTTGGTATAGTTGTTGTCACTAGAGTGCCCTCATTCGATGATGCAGCGGAATACAGCAAACCGTAATCTTTGTCTATTAAATGACGCCTTAAGTAATGACATCGGGAAAATCACCCTCAATGTAAGAATGTCCTACAATTAGTCGGATTAGCGATATGCAATGATATACGGCAGATGTATTTTTCCCTTTATGTTTGGGTTTGTACACCAAGTATTCTAATTTCAGGACAGAGTCGGTGGCCTTTAAAATGACGTTATGTAATCATTGTTATCACAAACCATTTAGATATATACCTAAAATACTAGAGTGTCGGCTTCCTCAGGAGAAACAATAGCTTAAGTAATTCATCAAATTACGTATATTCTGCAGAATCAGCGAACAGATTTTTGCAGACGTTGGATAAAATGCTTGTAAGGGTTTTAAAGGCTTTATGTTATCTTATTCACAGACTGAATAAACTCGCAAAAAATGAAATCTTAAAACCTTATCTCAATAAACACATAGTCAGGTTTTATCGATTTTTTCAACTTTATATCAATAAAAAAACATATACTAAACATGCGTGCTTCATGTAGATTTGCAGGACTGTAATAAATTTAAACGGCGCGACTACCATCCCATGTAGTCTTTTCAATTATCAAAATAAACAAAGAAAAAAAAGATAACCATCATATTCGAAACTACGATACTTGATAATGTAAATTGTTCTACTTCCTGGGACTGAAGATTTTACAAAGACGCCTAAAAATATTCTGATACTGTAAATAAAATAACTTACCGAGTTGTTCACCTTCGCTCTGAGCATCTCTAGGTAATTGCAGAATGTTCCGAATAGAAAACTTTATTTGTTGGTCGACCTTGTCTATATTTGAATGAGCGTTTTCATCAGTTTGCGCTTTGTCCATCTTCTGTTCTGACTGTGTTTCTAAGACGCTTGAATCCATGACCGATTTGGTGTATCTAACGTATCTGAAGTTTATGAATCTTTCGTTGGTTTTAATAATGCGTGAAGCCCGTCAGGGGCCAATGTAAACGTCTGGTCGAGATGTTTATTATTGCTATCCCACCAAGTGCCTTAATTGATAGCTAAATGTGATCGATTAAGTCAGTATTAAGATGTTTGATTTCGAAATCTTGGAACCAATTAGACCTTGCGCGTGCTTTTAAATCATACAGGTATTGCATACGAAGGTCTTCTATCAATGGAAACGCTAATGTATAAACATGAGCGGTGGAAATTAAACTGCTCGCCTTCCTCTTGAACGATGAACAGGCGATCCTTCGTCACACACCCAAAAAGGGCCAGACAAACCGGGTTGTGTTTCTGTTGCCTGGCTTCTCTTTCCGAGAAGGTCTTCCTTTCCTGCCGTGCTGGCACAATGCTTGCCTGTACAGCCTTCTTCAATTAGGTTTGCAACAGTTTTAAGTGCATGCGGTGGTTTTCTTTTCATTAAGACGATGATACGACTGTCGTAACATCTCTCCTTCTGGCGAGGCATTGTCCGTGCAACAAAAAATGTCCGGAGTAGTTAGGCATGCGTAATAATTACATACTTTACAAGGACAGATTGATACAGATAATGAAATGTTGCATTGGAACAGAATCTTCTCAGTGTGAAGTAGCCGATATATACATTGGTAATTACCTTGAATGAATTCCTATTAAATATGCTAAGCAAGTGAAATCATTTTATTTAACATTTTCACCCTTTGATTTGGTTTTATATTCATTAATCTATCAACAGGTATGGTAATAGGGCTTTACATTTATTCAAATTAACAAGATTTTCCTTTCTCAGGTTTATTCTGTTCTGTAAATTTAGTTTTATTAAGAAATGATCAAAGTGACATGAGCATTAGCCTTAATGTATAAGCGGTAAATTTCACCATCATTCTGTGATCATTACAGAAACAAAGGTGTCGGGCGATACATGTATATGCACAACTAGGTATGAAATTTGAGGAGGTAAAAGTAATTTTGAGATCGACTACATCACGGTAGGGGACGGAGACAGCTGGTCATATAACGTTGGAATCAGGGCTTCATACAACGTGAGAGAGCCGACGAAGGACGTGCTTAGAGACAAAACGTCAAAATGAGTACTGTAAAATATCGTAGTAAAGGCAATAAAAATCGACAGTAACGCAGTTTTTGTCATAAGGGACTTATTGAAAATCAAAACCGCGTCACAACAATGTAAATAAGAGTGAGGAAGACCGTAACGTGAGAATGAAGTGTTTATCACTTGCACGAAAAAGGGACCAGTTTCACGATGTCCATCACATCACGGATAGATATAGTAAAACAGGTTCCCTTATCGCTTTGGAAACGAAACCTTATCTCCCCTGGTGATCATAGTAGACAAAATACTTTGTGATTGGATGGTAAACTAGCTTTCATCTAAATGTGTGGGACTTCATTCCCAGAACTTACTTGAAAAGGTAATGGGAATTGTTACCCGATCATGTTGGGCTTCTCGGAATACACCGTTTCCATAGTCACACTCCTCGTCCGCTTTCATCAGAGTGGTTAATGTGTAATTTGTTGTTGTGAAATTGATAAAGTAACTATCAAAATAATGTTCATCACATAATTTTTTAATGTTTCCGGCAATATTGAAATGTCTAGTTTTACACATTGTGCAATAAGCTTATGTACAGCTTTTAAAGAATGATGGTTATGATGTTTCTGTTTAATCCATCAGAATTGTACTTAACGATGCCAGTGTTTGTGTTGCTAATCTCAGACTATGATATTTACTAATGGGCACCGCTACTGATATAGATTTATTAACTTGTACGCTTAAATCTAATTTACTACGTCAGTTATGTTCAACTAATGTTAAATGATATCAAAAGATAATGATAACAAGTCAGTGATATTTCACTTGGTAACACTGGCGGTGTGACGCTACTTGTAAAAAAGCGTAATTAGACTAGTATATGAGTGTGAATCAAAACGTGGCATGAAGGATTCGGCAAACATCGGGGAATCATAGTATGCTGGTAGTATCCACCGAAACGAGATGGAAAAAAATCACTTTTTTTAAATAAAGAATTACACTCAATGACCGATACCCCTCCCGAAGGTCATTATTAATTCACTTCTCTATTTCTGCTCACTGCGAGCAACTAACATCGTTTCCGTAATCGTCAAGGGCCGATTGCGAACCGTCTATAAATAGTTAAGAATCACATCCATTCTAATTATAGTTACTACGCACGCGACCGTCTACGAATGACCATAATAACTCTCGATGAAACAACACAAACATGATTCTGGATGTGTAATCTGTTCAGGCTAAGCCTATTTACAGCATATTGATGTGAATGGCCAAAATCTAATTAGTAAGATGCTATTTTTGTGGCTATCACCAACCATGTTTTCGTTGTAAACATCTTTCTATTTGTTCAATAAGAATAACCGAAATGTTAATGTTAGATAGAAATTCCGAAACCGTCTTTGATCAGACCAAGTGATATCAGGCAGGTGAAACACTAAAAGTTAGTTTGACCGATACCTTGTACATTTATTAAGAATGACTCACTGCCACATAATCGCGAAAGTTATAGTCTTTCATTTGCCGAAATCTTGTTCAAGCTCCCTTTATTAATCTAGTCTGTGGGTATATTACACTGACTAACATACCATGAGAAAATTGTGCAGTAGCAAGCAGACAAAAATACCAATTATTTTTTTAAATGTTTTTATTTCAAGTGCAATTTTCATCAACTTTTGACAAATGATATTTCATTGATGATTATTCTGTTGGCAAAATATTTAAACCATTGAAGTCTCAATATTGATGTAAATGTACCCTGTGTACATTAAACCATAAGTGACTGTAGAGAGAAAGAAAACAAAATACTGACATATTTCCCAACAACACGCATAGCATCGACCAAAATCACCATCTATGATCGGTACACCGGATATGGATACAAGAGGCTTAAAACCAACACCATCGAAGGCAATAAATCGTTGTTTTCACTTACCTAACGTTACATTACAGCCCAAATTACGGTCTCGTTGTTTCAGGAAGCTCTAAATTTACAATGGAAACTTGAAACTTAAATGTGTCGATGTAAAATTATTCGACATAACATGTGGGGTGTACATGTACCTGCATAGATCTGTCGCGAAGTTGCACGGTGCCCAATATGTAGTCTAACTTGTAAGTTTGAGGCACCGATCGGGATAATGACGTTAAGGTGAAGTATTTGTGGTTGCAAATTATAATAATTATAATCAGTGATTTTTCATATGCATAATTAAAAACATGTCAGTATGACGAGAGGATTCCATGTTTCCTTTTATTATCATATAGTATGTATACAACAACATCCAGCATCTCCTCGGCCGGTTATTACAGTATGTTTTACACATGTCTGTCTGATAAAAGACCACGATTATATGTGCTCTGCTCTATGAATTACGTTCTGTCATTCTCATCCTCATGGAAGTGTGGCCATATAAATTAGTTGCTATTCAGACTGGCATTATTTTAAAAAGTTCTCCCTTATAAATTAACAATTAAAAAACACAGAAAAAGTAAACTTAGATCGATTCTTGTTGGATGAAAATTATCAATAGTATTGGTATCGTCAACTTTTCCGGTGAGAGTGCTGATTCTTATGTCTTTACAAAACTACAAAGTTCCGTGGAATTTCACAGTGATAGCCTTCGACCAGTGCCAACTATCTTACGCAAGCACGCACGCGCACGCACGCACATGCACGCGCATTATTATTCTGAAATACGCGCTATATAAAAAATATATATGAGCGATGCTTACTCCGTACACATACCACACTATTATCCGTACACATACCACACTATTATCCGTACATACCACACTATTATCCGTACACATACCACACTATTACCCGTACACATACCACACTATTATCCGTACACATACCACACTATTACCCGTACACATACCACACTATTATCCGTACATACCACACTATTATCCGTACACATACCACACTATTATCCGTACACATACCACACTATTATCCGTACACATACCACACTATTATCCGTTCATATACCACACTATTATCCGTACACATACCATACTATTATCCGTACACACGCAATTATCAAATGTATATGAACCGTACAAATGCCTACTCATTCAAAGTTTTTATCAGCTTTGAAACGAAAATACGTCAGTTGTGCACGTCAGTAACATAAAACGATTTAGGCTGAATGTTTGACATGAAATGAAATGAGTTTCGATATTATCATCTCTCCGCAGGTAGCGCCCCCTTTACATCCCACACATTTCGTAAAATGATTTTATGACACGTTCAAATCTCTCAGTTAGTGTTTTAAATGTAAATATAGGTCTTCTTGAAACATTGAGACCAAAGTTTGGCCATCAATGCTACGTCAGATAGGTAGCAACAAGGATTTTCTTACCTGCTGTAACCATATGTTTGGCTTTATGATTCACATATAGCTATGTCCGGTGTACAGTTATAAACGGTATACCAATACATCCTCCCTGCTACAGTCATCTCTCGTTTCCTGTTGTTCTATAATTAGATGATCAACGTACCAGAAATGTTTGAATTGGTCTTGAGAAAACACGATATAGGGGAGGTAACTCGCCTCTTATCTAATACGCATCAGTCAGCTTGTTGTGTAGTGACTGTATGATATCATTATGTACTATCATAACCATGTATAATACAGTCCATTCGTTCATTCTAGGAGGAGAGTTTATTCAGGATTTAGCTTGTTGTCCAGTATATATATATTGTCTAATAGAATCTTACTGAAACAATCATGCTATGTCCCTGGTCGCTGAGTGCCCTCGTTTGATGTAGATTTATTGGTTTCAGGTTCAAAAACATCTGCAGTGTCTCTGGAGTTTGCTCTAGTTTTACCGTGTTTAACGTCATCACAATAATTCTAATAATGACTTTTCTA